AGGGGTTTGCTGTTTGCTAGTGAACATTTGTTATGTATGAAGGTCCTCTTGGTCATGCTTTGGAAACAGTGAATAATGACTTCAAGGGTTTAGTTACTTTTTTGTTTTTGTAGTGCTAGTGCTGAGGATTGAACCCAAGGCTTTATGCATGCTAGGCAAGTCCTCTACCATTGAGCCACATCCCCAGAGACTTCCAGGGCTTAGCTGTGCGAGCGAGTCAATTGAATGGCAGTACAGTAACTGACATCTCCACCTCTTTTCCTTGTCTACTTTTCTCCATTTTGATGACATTAGCAGACATGGGCTAGTGAGAGGCTCTTTCTAATTATTTCTGGATTACTAACTATTCCTTCTTACTTCTGAGAACCCCTTCTTTGGTTCACTTTGACGCACTGGGATTTTATGTGTCAGAATATTAACAACCAAATTCCTTGAGAGCATTAAGTAGGTTTGGGATAGTCTAACAAGTCTCTGTGCCCCAGGAGTGGACAATGTGTTGTTAGTGATGACGCTAATACCTTACTTTAGATGCAGTAATTTTTACACCAGTAACTCTGAACTTATACTAGCTCTTGGATATTCTCATTATAACCCAGTAAACATGAAGTTATGGTATAGTAGCTTTAAAATGGGCTTGGCTGTCAGAATAGACTTAGATCAGATCTCAAAGATGCTAATTATAAATTATACAACCTTGGGATACTTACCTAACTTCTTGAGATCTTGGCATTCCTCCCTTCTCCCTCTTTTAAAAATGGAAAAAATAATGCCCACTTTGTAGGGTTGATGGTAATAGTAAATGAAATATTTAAAAATGTTTATTGGCTGGTAGTTAGCTCATTGGTAAGGTGCAGTGCTTAGTGTGTTCAAGGTCCTGGGTTCAGTCCCTAGCCCCAAACAAAAACAACTTAGTACAGTCTTGACACATATTTAACATGTGATAAATGGTATAATAAAACAACTAGGTAAGTAGGTTGTAAAGAAAGTTGTTAAATTTGTTCATCATGGGTTTAGATTTGTTATATCCCAAGGGTCTGAGGAAACTGCACTTAGCACAAAAGGCTCCCAGTTGAGATACTGGAAAAATATCAGAGACGTCAAAGTTTATGGACATGAAAATGGTACAGTATGAGAGCTACAGACTGAGAATCCTGCCTTCAATGCACAGTAAAATTCTGGGATAGAAAATTAAGCAGATGGTTTGTGATCATTTAGTAAAGACTGTAGTGGTTGCTAGGAGCTCATATGAACTTACTAAGAACAAATCTTCCCTTTTAAATAGTCTTATGTGTTGTGTAGAGCTGAGAAATGCCATTTCAGCAAAGTGTCATTGTCTCCTTATGGATGGGATGGTAAACCACAGGCTGGGTGAAAATACTGTCAGATTTGCACATAGACAGTAATCAAAGTCAACCGATCAATGCCAGCTATCTTCATGGGGTCTCTGGTGGAATACAACAGAGCTCTGACATATAACCTTCACGTTTAAATTTTTAACTTAATGGAATGTCAGTGAAGACATGGGTGGATGTGTATCAAGTATGCAGATGGCGCAAAGTTTGGAGAGAGAATACAGCCAATGGCTGAGTGCATCAGGATTCAGAGCACTGCTCTGAACCCTAAAGGTTGAATTTAACAGGGGTAACAGTGAAGACTGATCAAAAGATCAAAAAAAGAAATCTTGTTTGGTAGAAGTTCAAGTTAAAAATGATCTGGTGGTTTCAGTGACTCTGGGCTTAACATTATTCATTCATTCATTCAATAGATAAGTATCAAATGCACTGTCTGCCATGCCCTTTTATGGCACTCGGGGGATAGCAGTTATCAAAATAGTCAAAAATCCCTACCTACATGGAGCATATATTCTTATGTGCCAACAGTTATGCAGCTGTTAAAAAAGAACCTAGGCTGGATAAGGTGGCTGACACCTGTAATCCCAGCTACTCAAGAGGTGGACATCAGGAGGATCATAGTTAAAACCCACCCTGGGCAAAAAGCTAGTGAGACCCCATCTCAACCAATAAACTGGACATAGTGGATCACAATCCAGGCCAGTCCAGGCAAAACAAAACAAAATTATCAAAATAATAACCTAGAGCAAAAAGGGCTGGGAACATGGCTCCAGTGGCAGAGTACCTGCCTAGCAAGTTCAAACCCCCAGTACTTGCACACACAAAATACCGACCTCTTAATGGTTACTCATTCTACTCTACTATTTAATATCCCATTCTTGATACCACATTTCACACTCATGTCATTATTTTTGGTTTTGAATACCATAGTCTGGACAAATGAATGACAATAGAATGACGAGGGGCATGTCAACCATATTGTAGAAGATGGATCAATGATAAGAGCTAAAAGAGACGTTATAACCTTCACCTGTTTGCGAGAAGACACCATAAACTTAGTCTCCCTTGCTACCGGAAGAACTGTGAGTTACCAGGAGGCCAGTTTCTGGTGAATATAAAACAAACTTCCTGCAACGGGTTTTAGCTATGCCTATGTGAGCTCCCGGGGCTGAGACTGTCTCTCTTATGTCTTGTCCACCACTCCATTTATACTGCCTAGGATAGTGGCACATGGTGGGCACCCAACAAATATTTGTTGAATGAATAATGAAAAGAGGCAAGTCAGTATGTGGTAAGCATTTGTGTGATAGATCCTGCCCTAGTGCTAGAAATGTACACTTATTCATATGGCATTTTGTGAGGATAATCTATGCACTAGAACTCTTGAAATGCAAAGTTCGGTTTTTGTGTATTGTGAGGGGTCTGAGGGTGGAATACAGTAACTAAAAAAAGAGTGGGAGGCCAGAATGTTTTCTTTACCATGTTCTAACAGCTCCAAGTTAATTAAACCACTTTTCTTAAGAGACATTTAAGAGGCCCTGTTAGAATTTATTTGAAAATTTTTAAGTGTGCTTATTCAGACATTACTCATCCCAGATCAACCTCATCATTTTCTTGAGGCCTTCACCATAATTCTGAACCAACAGGATCCTACTTTCTCAGTTCCACAGAATTTAGGATTTAATTCTTTTCTAATTTCTTCCTGGTCTCTCCATCTAGTTGATAAGCTTTTGCAGGACCAAACCTTATTTTATATTTAACTCATATTCTCTCAAATACATAGCAGAAACAGTGAATGACAATTATTGATTGATTACTTGACTCCTTGGTACATTAGTTAAAAAGGCTAGTTAGTAAAGTCACATCTTTTCAGCCATTTTAAGACTGCTATTTGGGATTGTCCTTGCGTGCTATCTGCAGTTCCTCTCTGGACTGCTCCAATGGATTAAAATTAATTTCTAGTTATCACCTGAGGAAGACATGTCATATTGAATAAGCCTTAGCTTCTCTGTCCCCAGTATTGAGGGAGAGAATTGTGGTCCTATTATTTTAGTGTCCACCATTTTGGCTAGGCAAATGCTTTGTACACAGTTAATTCTTTGTATGTAGCTGAATCTGTATTAATTAGTAAGTGACTGGACCTTAGGGTTCAAATAACCTTTGTGGCTCAGCCTCCAAGGAGAACTAGAACTGCAGGTATAAATCTCTCAGCTAAGGTAAGAGGCTCCCTGAGTGACTGATGCAGCTGGAGAGATCAGATTCAGCACATGAAAATATAGGGTTCCCAGTTACATTTGAATTTCAGGTGAACAACTGAAATATTTGGGACATGCTTATACTAAAAATGTATTTGTTGTTTATCTAGAATTCAAATGGAATGGTATCCCCTGAATTCTGCCTAGCAGCCTTCCATGTAACCCTGTTCATCTCAATTGCCCAAAATCAAGGCTCTGAACTCCTCAGATTAACTTGACGGAATGAAATTATTTTTGTGCATGTGATCAATTCTCTTAGCAATTAAAAATTTCTTCCACCACAGTACCTACTTTTTGCGATCATATTCTTTCAGGTTGATTCAATAACGATAATGTCACAAATGTCCAGAATCTTGGTGGCCTCTGATTGAGCACTCTGTTTTCCTGGTGGCAGAGCTTATTTGATTGGTACAATGCAGTAAGCAGTGTTGCCAAGTAAGTAGGTGAAATGTGAGTTTAGTGTAATTATTTCTGCTCATGCAAACAACCACATTAAGTAATAAGAGCTGCACAAATCAAAGCAAAGCACTGCCACATTTACTTAATTACCTTGTTTTCTTCCTTCAACTCAAAGCCAAGATAATACTCTTGTCAGTCCACCTCATACATTTGTTTTTGAGAGGTAGACATCTCTCACTTGGGCAAACTCCCTCCATTTTCCCTACGTAAATACACAATATTTCTTGCTGCTTAGTGGCAATGACCTTAAATAGGCCTTCCTTCCTTCCTTCATTCAGTTTTATTAAGTGGGTCTGTGCTAGGCACGAGGCAGAAACAGAGTGAATCGCGTAATCTCTGCTTTCAAGGGGTTCACAAGAATCCACGTGTTCCCAGCTTGTTTTGAAATCACTCAGGAGTAATATCAGTGTGAGCTGTGGTAAGAGCTAATTAGTTCATTGAGTAACGCAAGGATTCTTCTCTCAAATGCGTCACGTAAATATCAAGCCTCAGTTCCGAGCAAGAATGGCCCTTCATGGATAGTTCTAGGCCATTTGCTTCTCCTGGACTGCCGTAGGCAGGACATCACCCCTCGGCGTGGTCCTCAGCCTGCAGCATCTCTTGGTGAGACATGCGGGTGCTTAGGTCACACCGCAGGCCCTCTGAGTCAGACTCTGCCTTGTAACCAGATCCCTCGAGGATTTGTCTACACGCTGGAGTTAGAGAAGCCTGGTCTGATACAGTAGCTCTCAGGCATTATTTTGTGCATACCTGAGGGTCTTATTGAAACACAGATTCCCGGATCTACCCTCACAGGTTCTGATTCTCAGTTACCCAGGTGGGGCCTGGGAGTGTGCATTTCCACCAGTCTCCCTGGAGCTGCCAGGGTTGTGTGTGGAGACCCACACTTTAGCTCACTTGAGGAGCTGCATCGGTATTTGGTGATGGCACAAACATGAACCCCAGTGAGGGGATCAGGTTGGTTTTCCTTTGTCTATACCAGACTCGTGAACGTGACCATGAAACTGGTCCCTGGGACACACAGGTTGTTAGGGGGACAGAAATGCACACACCTGACTGATTGGCGACCGTTGGGGGACAGCAGAAGAGGGATCACTTAGACTTACCCAGGACTTTGCCATCTGAGTTGGGCCCTGCAAGATAACAGGCTGTTGAGAGATTTGACTGTGGGATACCCATGAAGAAGCAATAATTACTTCAGTATTGCTAAAAAATTTTAGCCTGTAGAGCCTTAGGAATGAAGAGGAGCAGAGGTGAAGGGACAAAAATTGAGCAATAAGCATGGGAAAAATTGGGGAACAAGCTTGTGGAGGGCCTTGTTAAGGAATTTGAATTGTGTCTGGTAACTTTTTGCATAATGGCCTCTGTTTTCAAGTTTTCGTGTCTGCTTGTACTTACCAAGTGTGTTTGCTTGCTTGCTTCTCGTAGGATTAAGCATGAAAACATCGTTGCCCTGGAAGACATTTATGAAAGCCCGAATCACCTGTACTTGGTCATGCAGCTGTAAGTACCTTGTTTTATTGCTGAGTGCCAAACAGAGCTGTGAGTGCCAGTGCCTAAAGAAATGAGTGTTGTGGGCTAGGTGAGATGACAGGGAGTGGTGAGGCTTGTGGAGCCCTGAAGCTCCTGGATCATCTGTAGACTGTGAGTAGCCAGACAGGTAGTGCACACCTGTTATCCCTGCACTTGGGAGGCAAGGAGGATCATGAGTTCAAGGCCAGTCTGGGCTACATAGCCAGACCCTCTCCCAAACAAAGAAACAAACAAAAAAACTGTGCTCTGCTCACAGGACTCTGCAGGCCTCCCTGGCTCTGGTCTTGGCTGCGGGCTAGACTGCAGGTCGTGAGTGGGACCCCATGTTACTGTTGCTGGGTGTCTCCAGGGCTTTGTCATGTGCCAGGGCCAAATGTTGCGGCCTGAATACCCAACATTGGGCCCACTGGAGTACACTTTGCTCTCATCTCTAGGAGAACTGCCTACCCTTGTCTTCATTTCCAGGGAAGCAGATGGCAACTGTGTACTCTGCCCTTTCCTTTCTCCTCTCCCCCTGGCAGACACAGGCACATATGATTAAGATAGGGAGTCATGCCAGATGTTTAGAAAGAAAGGATAGGCATGGTGGCAAATGCCTATAATCCCAGCTACTTGGGAGGTGGAGATAGGAAGATCACAGCTTGAAGGGCAAAAATGTTAGGGAGACCTATCTCAGCCAATAAACTGAGCTTTGTGGTTCATTCCTGAATCCCAGCTAGGCTGGAGGCCTCAGGAGGAAGACCATGGTCTGGCCCAGGCAAAATGCATGAGACCCTATCTGAAAAACAACTAAAGAACAGAAAGAACCGGGGGCATAGCCCACGTGGTAGAGCACCAGTCCACAAGCACAAGGTCTTGAGTTCAGAACCTCTGTACTGCCAAACAGATTTTTTAAAAAGAGTCATTGGAGTCAGCCCATGGCAGTGTCAACCCCCCTTCGATTATCTGTGCATTTCAGTAAGCTGGAGATGACCAAGAAGTGGGAAGGAATGAGAGAGTTACTGTTTACGTGGATTCTTTACTCGATCGTGCATTTCTTAGAGGTTGAGATGGAGCAGTGTCCCCACTCACACACATGCTTTACTCTGTTTTATGGTTCCTGGGAGCACCCCGCACTGCATTTGCTGGAACGGAATATTGGACACTGGTCTGGGGTGTTGTGCTTCAACCATGACCTGAGGAAAGAAATCCCAGGACACCACCTTATTGAGCTTTCTGACTGAAGATGATTTTTGTGAGAGAACATAACCCATACTGACTTCATATGCAGAAGAATGCTGGTTAGGCTAATAATTTATTTTTCACGGATTCTCACCCTTATAAATGTTTAAACAATACATTAACCTGGGATGGTGTCAGGATGCAAACAAGTGTTCACAAGCACTGTTTAATCTTTCATTACCTTCAAAATATTTTAGTAGGTGTTTTGTAGGAATAATTTAAAAATGTCCACTCTGGAAGCCTCTGTCTGGTTTTTCTCTGAGACTGACCATAAGCCACCTTAAGCAGTTTTTTAAATGATTTGGTCCAGTGTTAACTCTAATTACATAATATACTTTTTCCTAGTTCCTTGTTCTTTGGTTTCTTTTACAACTTGCCATCTGTATGGTCTTTCCTAGCAAGGATTATTCTACCCAGATTTGGGGATCCTCCTGAAAGCTCCGGTGACTTTGTGTTATCCAGTAACTTTAAAGATGCCAGTGAACCAGTTTTAGATATCGCTTGCCTAATAGGAAGAGTTTGGTACAAAATGTTGACCGTGTATTTAACTGTACTGTTTTTAATGGCAGTGAGGAAGTACTCATATCAGACTCCAAAGCTCTGCTTTAGTCTTGAATGTGTTGGAGTATAGTAGATGTTAGGTCACATACCCCACTGTGTAAATCACAGCTCTGCCTCTTTCTAGTTTGGCAAATGACTGGGTCTCTCTGAGTTCCAGTTTCTACAAAGGGAAAAGTGGAGATGATACTGGTAATATTTACATCAGAAGACTGCAATGAGCAGTGTGGAGAATGTGTGGGCAACTGTCACAAAGAGGAGGTCTTCAGGACATGCTGGCGTCCATATTTGTATCATTCATCAGGACATCGCAACAGAGGGTTTAATTTTTTAGGAGATAAAGTCCAAGTATAAGTTAACATTGTTTTTCTAAGCAATCTGCTATACCTTTACTATCAGAAGTGTCTGTAAAGATGGGCTGGCAGGAGAGCCCTCAGTGTCTGGGGAAGACCCAGACTTAGGTCAAAGCTCGGAGATCATATTGGGGTCAGCCCTGCTCTCCCCACCCCCACCCTGTGCCTTTCTGTTAAGAATGAGTTTATAGAACACCTCATTAAAATGAACCACACTCAGTGAGAAATTTTAGTAATTTGATGAAGAAGTGGACTGGAAGTAACTTTTGGGGGACTGGATGAGATTTGTTAGGCAAATGACACAAAATCCTGATGTAGAGGTGATGAATGTTTGAACCACCTAAGGGGAAAACTGGGTACATGGACTGTTAAGTGGCTTAGCTAATTTCTCTTATTTATACATACATGTATACACAGTTACAAAATGTTAACTTGTGTTGATTCATTTTTCTTTAGTTTTTATTAGTTTTTTAAAGTGAGTTTGATTGAGGTATAAATTATGTTCAGTGATGAAAGTGATAGACTCAGGCTTGAGAATCCACTACCATAATTATGATTCAGAAAATTTTCTGTTCCCCCAGAAGATTTCTTGTGCATTTTTTGAAATCTTCCTTCCCTTGCCCATGACCCAATCAATGATCTGCCTTTCACTTATTAAAAATTATTTCACATATTCTAAAATATTGTAGAAAAGGAGTCCTGTAGTATGTACCCTTTGTATGAGTAATTATTTTACTCATAATTGTTTTGGCATCCACCCATTTTACCCAGGTAGTCGCATTTCTCAATAGTTCTTGTTTGTTTTTGGAGCTTTTTTTTTTTTTTTGAGATTTATTATATAACCCTGGCTGGCCTTGAATTCACAATCCTTCTGCCTCTATCTTCTAAGTGCTGGGATTATAGACATGTACCTCTAAGCCTGGCTGGTTTCCTGATGGCTAACATTTTTTGTTTGCTTACTGGCCTCTTGTGTATCTTCTTCGGAGAAATAGCTATTTGAATCCTTTGTCCAGTTTTAAATCAAGTAACTTGTCACTTATAGAGGTGACATTATTGTGGTGTAAGTCCTCTTCATATATTCTATATACAAGTCCTTTTTCAGATATATGATTGCAAATATTTTCTCCATTTGAGGGGTTATCTTTTTACTTCTTTTGATCATGTCATTTGCAGCATAAACGTTTTTAATTTTGATGTAATCTGTTCTTCAATTTTGCTGCTTGTGCTTTTGGTGTCATACATAAGAAATGGTCTCCTAATTCTTAATGGTAACTTTTGAATAGCAAACGTTTTCTTGGTGAAAAGCAAGAAAGAATTTTTTTTCTAAAAAAGTCTTTTGTGTTCTGTATGATGTTGTTGTTGAAACCCAGGTTCAAAAATTTTTTCCCGTCTAGAAATTTTATACTTTTCCATTTAGGTACGGTTCAGGATCAGTTTTCTCTTAATTTTTATACATAGTCTGAGGTAAGAACTGTGTTTTTTCACAAAGGGATAGCCAATATTCAGATATATTTACTGCAAATGTTTTATTTTCTCAATGTCTTTGTCAGAAATCAGGTAACCATTTATGACTTTACTCATTATTCTGGTCTTTACTGTTTATGTCTACCCTTCTGTTAATACAACTCTACCAAGTTTACTGTAGCTTTATAGCAAGTCTTAAAATCAGGCAGTGTAAATCCTCTAACTTTGTTATTCTTTCTTAAAATAGTTTTGGCAGTCTTAAAATAGATTGTTTGCATTTTCATATAAATCTTGAAACCAGCTTTTAAAAAATGCTGTGGGAATTTTGTCTGGTTGTCTGGGATTACAGTGAATCTGTGTATGTATATCAATTTAAGAACAATCGACAACTTAAAACTGAGCCTTTTGATTCATGAGCTTCTGGCTCTCCATGTATGTAGGTATTTCATTGCTTTCACTCTTGTTTTATAGTTTTTAGCAGTAGGTCTTCTATATCTTTGTCCAGTTTATTCTGAAATATTTCATTGTGTTGATTCTGTAGTAAATCGACTTTACCATTGCTTGCTGCTGTAGACAAAAATCCAATTGATTGTTAGGTAAACTTTACTTCTGAGTTCTAGTAGTTGTGTAGTATGTTTCTTAGCATTTTCCTATCTAAATAATCCTGTTACCTGCAATTTACATTAAGTATAGTTGGTCCTCAGAAGGATTCTATGTAATCAAACTTGGATAGTTTAGTTTTAAATATTAAGTTTAGTGTTTTAATGTTATAATTATGTCTTTAAAATACTTTATGTTGGCTATTTTGGAAATTCAAGTTAATATCTCTCATTCCTTCCTTCTATTAATTATCTAAATTAGTGAGAATTAAAAAAAAGGAATAACAAAAATTAAAAAGCAATAACATGAAACCTTGTTTCAGCATTATCTCATAACTTGGAACTTGGCTATTTGAATTTTGTGGTGTATTATTTTTTACTAATTTATTTGCTGAAGATTAATATGCTCCTGAGATTCCAGTCTTTGTCATTGGTTTGCTTTTTTTAGGCAAATAAAATAGTTTTTTTTTTTTTTTGTCCTTTTGGTTTTTTGTTTGCTTTTGTGTTTCTTTGTTTTTGAGGCTGTAAAAGCTTGATTTCAATATAGCGGCGAATCAGAATACAACACTCTGGGCACCTGTATTTCACAATAATTGTGCCTGGGAGATTTTTGATTTCCTAGGAAACATCATCTTGGGTGGGGAAGCTCAGATATAACCAGGGATGCTCAGCACCCTAATTTTATTACTTCTCTAATTGCTGTTTTGATTTTGAGTAGTATAGTGTATTTGTCCCTGTGCTGCTGCAGAAAAAGGCTTGACTGTTTGTAGAGGTC